CGAAGTCCTCTGCTGTAGTAGCTGTATTAAGTGCCTGTGATGGAGACATCACAATTGGCCAAGGGATTGACTTTTTTTGGTTAAGTGGAAGTGGTGCTGAAAAGGGTGAGATTAGCTGACGATGCCGGTGAAATGACAAGGAAATGAAACCATATCCACGGCCCAACTGTGAGAATGATGACAAGCATTACAGCAGAGGACTTTGGACAAAGTGCGTCCAATTAGGTCGCCCTGATAAGACAACCAAGTTGTGAAAATGAGGTCAAACCACTTTTAATGGCATAAGTTTGTGTGGAAAAATGTCAGCTTTCAGTCCTAAAATCACCTAAACCGATCTAAGGCGAATAAGTTATTATCTACCAACTTAATACCTCCAAGCGCACTACTTATATGCATAGTAAGTAGGCATCAAAACATTTGGGAGGTTTGCCTATGCGGAATTGAATGGCATATTGTGTCCCTCTCATTGAATTGAGGAAAAAAATTTATTAACATTTATTAAATGGCCTAGGGTGACTAAGTTTTTTATTCAAGAAGCACTATTTTTTTCAAAATGACCTCATCAGCTACCATGACATAATTCGAGCCTAAGCAGCAATAGTCATCCACGGGCGCCAATTATTGTCATTACAATCGACGACATTACTTATTTAAGATATAAGTAGTTTTCGAGGCTATCAGTAATTAGTGAATAGGAACTTAGCTGCCTAGACTGCTCAAGGTGAGCTAAGGACCTGTAGTCGAGATTTCCCATAAAATTGTATGCATGAGCCTTAATGTGCTTTTGATTTTACGTAGCCTTTCCTCCAAAAAGCCATTCCTACCACAAGTGGACCATTTTTCAACCTCGTCTGGGTTTCATCAGTACCTATAGTGGGATTCGATACCGATTTGTGATGTCGTGGCAGGCGTGAAAGTGGGTCACAAGGCAACTGCAACACTCAAGACAAACTGGGCCTCTCCAAACTTGCGTTTCTATGATGGAAATGTCGCCCAAGGGAGCCTTATCTTTTAGATGTTGTTCAAGTGACTAAGCGCTTATTCAATAAATTCTGATAGCCTTGATAACTACTTATATAGAAAATAAGTAACGTCATCGATGGCAATGAAAAATACATATTCGTTCAATCGACAATATACTTTGGGACATGTGTTGGGAAAGACCTGGCTTGCCTTGGATGCCACAGCGGCATCCGTGGCCATGGAGGAAAGTGGAGTGGAGTGGAGGGGTAGCATAATCACGAGCTCGAATTCCGTCGAGGGTGCTGAAGAGGCCAGTTTTCAGGCTAGCGCGAACCCGCCCTTCCGTCCAGTCTGGATGAGATAGACTTTTCCGAGGAGAAAAGCTACGCGAAATGCATCGGAAACATGTAGGCTACTCATCGCATTTTGTGGATCAATTGGTGCATCCGTCCGTAAATCAACTCAACCAGACTAGACGCACTGAAATCTTGAACGGACACCAATTTGAGGGCCGAAACCGAGCCAAACCCTATCCTCTCCTCATCGCATGGCAACCGTCCAATCGGCCGACTCGGCACGATGAGACGGAGCCAGCGCGTCCGACCGACTGAGACAAGAAAGAGTCTTCAAAGCATCGCCGGTCTCGTCAGCGCGGAATGCGTCGTCGCGCGTCGACAGTTTCCGCGCTCGTCTGTGCCCCCCAGACGGCGGGACTCGAGCCCAGAAACCGAGGCCGAACGGAAAAAGCGACCGCGACCGCGACCGCGACCGCGACCGGCCTACCTCGACTCGAGGCTCCGCGGGCGAGTTGGCGTCCGAGATGACGGTGAGCGTGAACAGCGGCTGGTTGTGGTCGTTGGCGGCGGCCAACGAGCTCAGGAGGCTGGCCAGGTCGAAGTTGGCCGGTTGGAGGAGACTGTTGGCCGGCGGCGTGCGCGAGCCCCAACTGGTGGCGGGCAGCAGCAGCCAGCCCTGAAAGTCGGCGCGCAGATGCCGCAGGTAGGCCTCGAACCGAGCCGGAGGGTCGCCGGCAGGCCCGGCCGGCGTGTGGCTGGTGTTGAGGCAGGAGGCGAAGTAGCGCTGCGCCAGCAACAGGTCGAGTCCGTCGGCCGGCTCCCAGACGGCCTGGGCTGAGAGGGGCGGAGAGGAGCGTAAGGGTGGGGGTGAGGAGGAGAGCGGGAGGCGGGACTCGAGCTCACGCCTCGACGGTCCGGACTCGCTTACCCAACTTCCGGCGGCGCATCAGAAAGCCCATTTTCGTGGCCTCGTCCAGATGGGACCAGAAATTCGCCTCCTCTGGCACCTCGTGCTCGTCGGAGTAGCGGCCACAGGCGAAGTTGTAGAAGTTGACGCAGGGATCCGCTGAAAAGTTGATTCGGCTGAGCACTTCTGCCGACGTCTTGATGCAGCCGGGCGTCATGCAAACTGGCGCTGAATTGCAAGGAAAATGTCATCAAAAACGCCGAAAAGGACAACGGACAGAGCAGTTGAAGGTCTGCATGAGTGTGGCCGAATTCTACCAGTTTATATGCAAAGAAAAGTTGGGTTTCGAGGAATGTCTGGTTTCGAGTGAAAGTGTTTGGTGAAGAGATTCGAAGCTCGGTTCAACCAGAAGACGACGGCGGATTTCTCTTGACCAGCTGTCGTTTGGCTTTACCGGAACATTCATGCTGACGCTGTTTCCGAGGCAATCTCGTTCGATTTCAATGAAAAGGTGATAAGCTTTCGTGCGTCATGTGACGAACATCATTAGAGCCAGGTATCATCGTCACGACCAAATTCAAGCTAACAAGATCAGTCAATCAGTTTATACCGCATCAAAGAGGTCAGATAGAAAGTATATGTACGACTCTTTAAGGATGAACCGGTGAGTTATCTTGGCTCGTCAACTTGAAGCTGGTGGTAAGGATGATGCCATGCTCTGATGATTGACGTCATACGACGGAGGAAAACTTGGCAACTTGGATGAAACAACTTTTGGGAAAGCAAGGCAATGTGAAATTGAATGGAAAAGTCAGCTCTAATCATGTCATTGTGGGAAAATTCTACTACCAGTCCTTCATCATCTTAAACGAAATGGGATGAATAAATCTCATATAAATGTGAGCTTTAACGACATCTTATTTTATAATTAGGAGAGCAGTTGAAGGTCTGCCTGAGTTGTGGCGAATTGTACCAGTTTATATGCGAAGAAAAGTTGAGTTTCATGGAATGTCTGGTTTCGAGGGAAAGTGTTTGGTGAAGAGATTCGAAGCTCGGTTCCACCAGAACACGACGCGGATTCCTCTTAACCAGCCGTCGATTGGCTTTGCTGAAAGATTCATGCTGACGCTGTTTCCGAGGCAATCTCGTTCGATTCCGGTGAAAAGGTGCTGAGCTTTGGAACATCCTCTGAGCAAGGTATCATCGTCACAACCGGCTTAGACTGTCTTTTATAGTTTTTACGTTGGCTTTAGAGACTACCAGCGGATCACTTAATGGCGATGTGTTTACCCGATTTCGTTTAAGCTGATGAAGCACTGGCAGTTGAACTTTAGCCCAGCAATGCCAGACGGCCATATGCTTCCATTCAACTACATACCGGCCAGAGTCAACTGCAGTTTCGACCTCGGCTCAACTGGTCGCAACAGCACCTCCGGCGGGAATCGAACCGAGAAAGTACAGCGTTTTATCTGTACACGTTGAACACAGCGCGATGATGCCTTGAGTGTTTTTGAGTCACAATGAAGATGAGAGCTTTAAGGAAGGCCCAGCATGCTCCCAGATCACATTCTGTGATGGAATTGACGACGAAGCAGACTTTTTTATTTGCTATATCAATCGACAACATTACTTATTTTTAGTTTCAGAATGCATTACAGATATGAAGACCAAGATGGTGTGTCCTCTGGTAATTTCGCAGTCTCCGTCCGATTGATAGACGTGCGTTGACCTCGTTGTCGCAACTTGGTCTTGTTGTCAGGGCGACTTAGTAGAACGCACCTAGTCCGAGGGATTGACTTCACTTGTCGTTTCGACGAGTTCGTAATTTGGTGCGGAGAATGGCAGCACTCACGGCTGATGCCGACTTCGATGTCGGCGAAACGTCTGAGAATGTTCTGAGTCCATTGTCTGATGCTGGGAATCATGACAACTAATCTGGTAGACGACTTCGGACTAGATTCTTTCTATTAAGTCGCCCTGACAACAAGATGAAGCTGCCACAACGAGGTGAACCCACTTTTAAAATGACTGGTAGTTGAGATGTCATTTTAAGTAGCTTGCTGGCCACAGTCGTCGAAAGGTTGGCGCACTCCTCGTTCTTAAGAGTTGGATCTTATTTTTACCATTTTGTAAAGTCTATCCATTAATTGATGTTAACTTGACGTAGTTGCAAAAATAAAATCCAGCACTCCGAATGATGATGATGATGATTAAATGATTGCAACAATATCCCCCATTTATTTGGCACTTCACCGAAATCATGAGCGTTTTATGGGGTCCAGTTGTAATTGCTGACATAATGAGTCTCCAAGTTGTATGTTAATAAGCAATCCTCGACCAGCATCAATGTAGAGAGAGAGAAGAAAGAATACTCAATGCTGATGAGGTTAGAGAGTCTAGAAAGAGCTTAACTCATTTTTCTTTTTCTGTCGTGGCTCACATGTGCACATTTTGCTTGTACCTTTGTCTGCACGCATTCCCAGACTTTATACGGATCCCTCCGTCCTGGGTCCCTCGACCATTCCGTAGAGCTCTCGAGCCTTCCAGCCATCGTCGCTTGCTTCTGCCGCTCATTCGAATGCCTTGCTTTCTTCGGCTTTCTTGAGTCCTGGCCACATTCTCGCCGGTTTCCATTCGACCGGCTGCAACAAACGCGGATCCAACTGGGCCCATTGCGTCGATTCCGATCAGGTTTCTACTCGGGCCAGCGACAATCAGTCTCTTGTCGCAAAGCTCGACCAGCCACAGTCGTGGCCCACCGTGTCCGGTAAGCTTGAGGCGTTGTCGACCATCAGCTGCAATGAACGGCTCCAAAGCCAAAGATGTCTGACATTTCGGCCAGAAGCAAGATCCCACAATCAGCACCTCCTTCTCAATTCACTGAACGCCCTGGACCTGACAACTCGTGTGAGCTTTATTCAATCTCACTATTA